AAGGGGAACTGGGCGAACTCCAGGGGCTGGGCTGCGGGGACTGGGGGGAGGGGGCAGCGAGGGTCAGGCAGGGGGACGCCACGGCCCCTGCCCTCCCGACACTGCCCCCTTCCTCTCCCACGCCGGCGCCCGGGCCAGCTCAGATGGGTGGGCAACACTGGAACGGGGAGCTCAGTACAACTAGGGTGCCAGCTGGCGTGTCTGGCTGGACCCTGTGTGGTGCGCTGGCGCATGGGGGTGGCAGGACCCTGTGTGGCATGCGGGGGGTGCCCGGCTGGACACTGCATGGCAAGCTGGCGCATGGGGGTGTGCCCAGCAGGACCCCGTGGGGCGTGTGGGGTGTCTGGTAGGACGCGTGCTGGTGCGTGCCCAGCCTGTATCTGCCCCTGCGTGCCCAGGCGTGCCCGCGACTGCACTCACTTCGCAGGTTCTCGCCAGTGGCATCGTACTTGTCGTGGATCCACTCGGGCGGCGGGGGGTAGAAGTTGGCGTGGGAGGCGGCGACGCCCAGTGGGTCGTTGCTCACCCACACGGTCAGGCAGATGTAGAAGGTCTCCGGGGGGATGATGCCGTTCTCGTCCACCAGGCGGCGCGTGGTGAGCTGCGGGGAGCAGACGGGCATGGGGTGAGCTGCGGGGGCCGGAGGGTCTGGCCGGCTCAGAGGCGAGTTCAAGGCCAGGCCAGGCACTCGGGCAGGGCACAGGGTGAGCTGCGGGGGCCGGAGGCCCAGGCCGGCTCAGAGGCGAGTTCAAGGCCAGGCCAGGCTCTCGGGCAGGGCCGGGCACAGGGCCGGCTCACACCTGGTTGTAGTTGAATGGCTCCTTCTTGTCGCCCGTCTGGATGAGCAGCTTGTAGGCCAGCGCGCCGTCCTCGGAGCCGTTCCGGTAGCTGTCACGGGTGATGCGCCCGGCCTGCCACTCCTTGTCAAAGACGGCCTGCAGGCCTGGGGACAGAGCGCGGGAGTTACGGGGACGGACGGAGACCTCCCAGGGGCACGCAGGGCAGGTGAGGGCAGGCGGGGACCAGCGGGGCAGGCTGGGGCAGGCGGAGGCTGGCATGGGCACACAGGGCAGATGGAGGCTGG